AAGCACAAAAAAGATCCATCTATACTGTCATACAACATCACAAGGAAGAACAAGACCATTAAGAAAACTTCTTCTTTTTATGGAGTAAATTAATATCTCTTGACTTGTGATGGAGCTGTGGATGTTAGACTCACCTCAGGAATCAGAAGGGTGAGTTTTTTCAGCCAGTCGTGCAGGTGGTCGCTGTCAGCCAGACTGGACTTCACGGTTGAAGAGCAGTGAGCCCAGCTCACCAGCAGCCACATGGAATAGTGAGTCACTGTGGGTAAAACATTACTGTCACACTCCACCAGCTTACTTCTTTTAACATTTTTAGCACGATCACCGTCTGAAAATGTAAAATCCTTACCTTCGTGTCGAGACCTGTGGTCAGACTGAGCCTTCAGAACTCTGCAAACAAAAACAAACAAAACAACAACAAACATGTCAACTATGCTGTCCATTTAAAAGTAAAGAACACATTTTTGAGCTTTTGTATGGCAAACCTGTGTGCAAGGTTGTCGTAAGTGTAGGCCACATTGATTAGTCGCTGGATCAGGTTGGTGCCTTGAACAAGGCTGAGGAACACCTGCGAACAGACAGAAGAGCCGATGATAAACATCCAGAAGTCAGAAACGTCCTGTTGGCAGTTTCTGCTACAAAGCATTACAAGTCAGCTGGAATAGTTACTTCAGTCAGTCGAGGGATGTGCAGGCCTTTGCCATGATCTACAGTGGATTTGCGCGATTTGCCTGGCCATGCCCTTTTACGCTGGCTGTCAGAGAGGCCTGACCAGGAGAAGACATCGTGGTAGGCTAAATCCAGGTCTGCAGGGTCTACAGCAAACTGGCAGATCAGCTTCAGCAGGCAGGCCAGACAGTCCAGCAGCCACTATAGATAAAAGAACATCAAACCAAACACTTACTTATATTAGTCTGTCCAATAATATGCTCATAAAATACATCTATCTACTGAAACTGTAGAAAATGACAAAGGTAGACTAAACTGTCTCACCACTGTCCAGGATTCTTGGTCTTTGGGTTCGAGGATGCCCGAATTAAAAATTTCCAAAAGCAGCTGCAAACCTCCAGATGAAACAAACTAAAGAAGAAGAAGACAACTGAAGTCAATCAAAGCCACGATTGAGAGGAATTTGATTTCCATCCTGCTTGAGTTAGTGTTGTGCTGTACCTTGCAGCTCCAGGTATTTTTGCTGTTTTCTATCTGATCCTCACTGGAGTCGTCCGAGTCTGGATACAGGTCACTATAGCTGCCCTGGGAACGAACAAGCAAGAGCTAAGTAAAATAGTAATACTGTCACTAACACAATTTTATGTTTTTTAAACGATGATGCCAAGTTGTACATGAAACACGCATTGCACTGTAAAAGTGTCATTATTTATGTTTTTAATGCCGGCTTTAGTCCAAATAGGGGGAAAGAAACTCCCCAAACCTTTCTGGATTTAAGGGCCAATCACTTTTTTTACATAAGTCTTGTAGCTTTTTTCCCTTCAAAAATGAACTCATGATTTAAAAATTAATTTTTATATTTTCTTGGGTTCTTTTTTTTATCAAATTTATCAATCTGAAAAATTTAAGTGTGACAAATATTTAAAGAAAGGAGCAAAAACTTTTTTCACTGTACTGTACAGAGTACCCAGTAGGGCTGCCACGATTAGTCGACTAGTCACGATTACGTCAACTATCAAA